CAGGACCACATTTATTGGCTAATACGTTATTGAAGAAAGGTGTTTAAAAGTACTAAAGACGTCCACTGGACTCGTCACATGACATAACAGGACCACATGTATTGGCTAATACGTTATTGAAGAAAGATGTTTAAAAGGACTAATGACGTCCACTGGACTCGTCACATGACATAACAGGACCACATGTATTGGATAATACGTTATTGAAGAAAGTTGTTTAAAAGGACTAATGACGTCCAATGGACGCGTCACATGACATAACAGGACCACATGTATTGGCTAATACGTTATTGAAGAAAGGTGTTTAAAAGGACTAATGACCTCCAATGGACTCGTCACATGACATAACAGGAGCACATGTATTGGCTAATACGTTATTGAAGAAAGGCGTTTAAAAGGACTAATGACGTCCACTAGACTCGTCACATGTTATAACAGGACCACATGTATTGGCTAATACGTTATTGAAGAAAGGTGTTTAAAAGGACTAATGACGTCCACTGGACGCATCACATGACATAACAGGACCACATGTATTGGCTAATACTTTATTGAAGAAAGGTGTTTATAAGGACTAAAGACGTCCACTGGACTCGTCACATGACATAACAGGACCAAATGTATTGGCTAATACGTTATTGAAGAAAGGTGTTCAAAAGAACTAGTGACGTCCACTGGACTCGTCACATGACATAACAGGACCACATGTATTGGCTAATACGTTATTGAAGAAAGACGTTTAAAAGGACTAATGACGTCCACTGGGCATCGTCACATGATATAACAGGACCACATGTATTGGCTAATACGTTATTGAAGAAAGGTGTTCAAAAGAACTAATGACGTCCACTGGACTCGTCACATGACATAACAGGACCACATGTATTGGCTAATACGTTATTGGAGAAAGATGTTTAAAAGGACTAATGACGTCCACTGGACTTGTCACATGACATAACAGGACCACATGTATTGGCTAATACGTTATTGAAGAAAGGTGTTTAAAAGAACTAATGACATCCACTGGACTCGTCACATGACATAACAGGACCACATGTATTGGCTAATACGTTATTGAAGAAAGACGTTTAAAAGGACTAATGACGTCCACTGGGCATCGTCACATGATATAACAGGACCAAATGTATTGGCTAATACGTTATTGAAGAAAGGTGTTTAAAAGGACTAATGACGTCCTCTGGACTTGTCACATGACATAACAGGACCACATGTATTGGCTAATACGTTATTGAAGAAAGGTGTTTAAAAGGACTAATGACGTCCACTGGACTCGTCACATGACATAACAGGACCACATGTATTGGCTAATACGTTATTAAAGAAAGGCGTTTAAAAGGACTAATGACGTCCACTAGACTCGTCACATGACATAACAGGAGCACATGTATTGGCTAATACGTTATTGAAGAAAGGTGTTTAAAAGGACTAATGACGTCCAATGGACGCGTCACATGACATAACAGGACCACATGTATTGGCTAATACGTTATTGAAGAAAGTTGTTTAAAAGGACTAATTACGTCCACTGGACTCATCACATGACATAACAGGAGCACATGTATTGGCTAATACGTTATTGAAGAAAGGTGTTTAAAAGGACCAATGACGTCCACTGGACTCGTCACATGACATAACAGGACCACATGTATTGGCTAATACTTTATTGAAGAAAGTTGTTTAAAAGGACTAATGACGTCCACTGGACGCATCACATGACATAACAGGACCACATGTATTGGCTAATACGTTATTGAAGAAAGGTGTTTAAAAGGACTAATGACGTCCACTGGACTCGTCACATGACATAACAGGACCACATGTATTGGCTAATACTTTATTGAAGAAAGTTGTTTAAAAGGACTAATGACGTCCACTGGACGCATCACATGACATAACAGGAGCACATGTATTGGCTAATACGTTATTGACGAAAAGTTTGTAAAAGGACTAAATACGTCCACTGGACTCATCACATGACATAACAGGACCACATGTATTGGCTAATACGTTATTGAAGAAAGGTGTTTAAAAGGACTAATGACGTCCACTGGACTCGTCACATGACATAACAGGACCACATGTATTGGCTAATACTTTATTGAAGAAAGTTGTTTAAAAGGACTAATGACGTCCACTGGACGCATCACATGACATAACAGGACCACATGTATTGGCTAATACGTTATTGAAGAAAGGTGTTTAAAAGGACTAATGACGTCCACTGGACTCGTCACATGACATAACAGGACCACATGTATTGGCTAATACTTTATTGAAGAAAGTTGTTTAAAAGGACTAATGACGTCCACTGGACGCGTCACATGACATAACAGGAGCACATGTATTGGCTAATACGTTATTTAAGAAAAGTTTGTAAAAGGACTAATGACGTCCACTGGACTCGTCACATGACATAACAGGACCACATGTATTGGCTAATACGTTATTGAAGAAAGGTGTTTAAAAGGACTAATGACCTCCAATGGACTCGTCACATGACATAACAGGACCACATGTATTGGCTAATACGTTATTGAAGAAAGATGTTTAAAAGGACTAATGACGTCCACTGGACTCGTCACATGACATAACAGGACCACATGTATTGGATAATACGTTATTGAAGAAAGTTGTTTAAAAGGACTAATGACGTCCAATGGACGCGTCACATGACATAACAGGACCACATGTATTGGCTAATACGTTATTGAAGAAAGGTGTTTAAAAGGACTAATGACGTCCACTGGACTCGTCACATGACATAATAAGACCACATGTATTGGCTAATACATTATTGAAGAAAGATGTTTAAAAGGACTAATGACGTCCACTGAACTTGTCACTTGACATTACAGGACCACATGTATTGGCTAATACGTTATTGAAGAAAGGTGTTTAAAAGGACTAATGACCTCCAATGGACTCGTCACATGACATAACAGGAGCACATGTATTGGCTAATACGTTATTGAAGAAAGGTGTTTAAAATAACTATTGACGTCCACTGGACTCGTCACATGACATAACAGGACCACATGTATTGGCTAATACGTTATTGAAGAAAGATATTTAGAAGGACTAATGACGTCCACTGGACTCGTCACATGACATTACAGGACCACATGTATTGGCTAATACGTTATTGAAGAAAGGCGTTTGAAAGGACTAATGACGTCCACTAGACTCGTCACATGACATAACAGGAGCACATGTATTGGCTAATACGTTATTGAAGAAAGGTGTTCAAAATAACTAATGACGTCCACTGGACTCGTCACATGACAAAACAGGACCACATGTATTGGCTAATACGTTATTGAAGAAAGGTGTTCAAAAGAACTAATGACGTCCACTGGACTCGTCACATGACATAACAGGACCACATGTATTGGCTAATACGTTATTGAAGAAAGGTGTTTAAAAGAACTAATGACGTCCACTGGACTCGTCACATGACATAACAGGACCACATGTATTGGCTAATACGTTATTGAAGAAAGACGTTTAAAAGGACTAATGACGTCCACTGGGCATCGTCACATGATATAACAGGACCACATGTATTGGCTAATACGTTATTGAAGAAAGGTGTTTAAAAGGACTAATGACGTCCTCTGGACTTGTCACATGACATAACAGGAGCACATGTATTGGCTAATACGTTATTGAAGAAAGGTGTTTAAAAGGACTAATGACGTCCACTGGACTCGTCACATGACATAACAGGACCACATGTATTGGCTAATACGTTATTGAAGAAAGGCGTTTAAAAGGACTAATGACGTCCACTAGACTCGTCACATGACATAACAGGAGCACATGTATTGGCTAATACGTTATTGAAGAAAGGTGTTTAAAAGGACTAATGACGTCCACTGGACGCATCACATGACATAACAGGAGCACATGTATTGGCTAATACGTTATTTACGAAAAGTTTGTAAAAGGACTAATGACGTCCACTGGACGCATCACATGACATAACAGGACCACATGTATTGGCTAATACGTTATTGAAGAAAGGTGTTTAAAAGGACTAATGACGTCCACTGGACTCGTCACATGACATAACAGGACCACATGTATTGGCTAATACGTTATTGAAGAAAGGTGTTTAAAAGGACTAATGACGTCCACTGGACTCGTCACGTGACATTACAGGACCACATTTATTGGCTAATACGTTATTGAAGAAAGGTGTTTAAAAGGACTAATGACGTCCACTGGACTCGTCACATGACATAACAGGACCACATGTATTGGCTAATACGTTATTGAAGAAAGATGTTTAAAAGGACTAATGACGTCCACTGGACTCGTCACATGACATAACAGGACCACATGTATTGGATAATACGTTATTGAAGAAAGTTGTTTAAAAGGACTAATGACGTCCAATGGACGCGTCACATGACATAATAAGACCACATGTATTGGCTAATAAATTATTGAAGAAAGGTGTTTAAAAGGACTAATGACGTCCACTGGACTCGTCACATGACATAATAAGACCACATGTATTGGCTAATACATTATTGAAGAAAGATGTTTAAAAGGACTAATGACGTCCACTGAACTTGTCACTTGACATTACAGGACCACATGTATTGGCTAATACGTTATTGAAGAAAGGTGTTTAAAAGGACTAATGACCTCCAATGGACTCGTCACATGACAAAACAGGACCACATGTATTGGCTAATACGTTATTGAAGAAAGTTGTTTAAAAGGACTAATGACGTCCACTAGACTCGTCACATGACATAACAGGACCACATGTATTGGCTAATACGTTATTGAAGAAAGATGTTTAAAAGGACTAATGACGTCCACTGGACTCGTTCAAAGGAGACATGACATAAACAAGACCACATGTATTGGCTAATACGTTATAAAGAAAGGTTATTGAAAAGGAGACATAACGGTCAGTGAAGGAGACGTAACGGTCAGAGAAGGAGACGTACCGGTCAGAGAAGGAGATGTACCGGTCAGTAAAGGAGACGTAGCGGTCAGAGAAGGAGACGTAACAGTCAGTGAAGGAGACGTACCGGTCAGAGAAGGAGACGTAACGGTCAGTGAAGGAGACGTAACGGTCAGAGAAGGAGATGTAGCGGTCAGAGAAGGAGACGTAACAGTCAGTGAAGGAGACGTACCGGTCAGAGAAGGAGACGTAACGGTCAGTGAAGGAGACGTAACAGTCAGTGAAGGAGATGTAACGGTCAGAGAAGGAAACGTGAAGGTCAGAGAAGGAGACGTAACGGTCAGAGAAGGAGACGTAACGGTCAGTGAAGGAGACGTAACAGTCAGAGAAGGAAACGTAACGGTCAGTGAAGGAGACGTGACGGTCAGAGAAGGAGACGTGACGTAACGGTCAGTGAAGGAAATGTAACGGTCAGAGAAGGAGACGTAACGTAACGGCAGTGAAGGAGACGTAACGGTCAGTGAAGGAAATGTAGCGGTCAGTGAAGGAAACGTAGCGGTCAGAGAAGGAGACATAACGTAACGGTCAGAGAAGGAGACGTAACAGTCAGTGAAGGAGACGTAACGGTCAGAGAAGGAGACGTACCGGTCAGAGAAGGAGACGTAACGTAACGATCAGAGAAGGAGACATAACGTAACGGTCAGAGAAGGAGACGTAACAGTCAGTGAAGGAGACGTAACGGTCAGAGAAGGAGACGTACCGGTCAGAGAAGGAGACGTAACGTAACGGTCAGAGAAGGAGACATAACGTAACAGTCAGTGAAGGAGACGTAACAGTCAGTGAAGGAGACGTAACGGTCAGTGAAGGAGACGTAACGGTCAGAGAAGGAGACGTAACGGTCAGAGAAGGAGACGTGACGTAACGGTCAGTGAAGGAAACATAGCGGTCAGAGAAGGAGACATAACGTAACGTCAGAGAAGGAGACGTAACAGTCAGTGAAGGAGACGTAACGTCAGAGAAGGAAACGTAACGGTCAGTGAAGGAGACGTACTGGTCAGAGAAGGAGACGTAACGGTCAGTAAAGGAGACGTAACGGTCAGTAAAGGAGACGTAACGGTCAGAGAAGGAGACGTAACAGTCAGTAAAGGAGACGTAACGGTCAGAGAAGGAGACGTACCGGTCAGAGAAGGAGACGTACCGGTCAGTAAAGGAGACGTAGCGGTCAGAGAAGGAGACGTAACAGTCAGTGAAGGAGACGTACCGGTCAGAGAAGGAGACGTAACGGTCAGTGAAGGAGACGTAACGGTCAGAGAAGGAGATGTAACGGTCAGTGAAGGAGACGTAACGGTCAGAGAAGGAGACGTAACGGTCAGAGAAGGAAACGCAACGGTCAGTGAAGGAGACGTGACGGTCAGAGAAGGAGATGTGACGTAACGGTCAGTGAAGGAAACGTAGCGGTCAGTGAAGGAAACGTAGCGGTCAGAGAAGGAGACATAACGTAACGGTCAGAGAAGGAGACGTAACAGTCAGTGAAGGAGACGTAACGGTCAGAGAAGGAGACGTAACGGTCAGAGAAGGAGACGTAACAGTCAGAGAAGGAAACGCAACGGTCAGTGAAGGAGACGTGACGGTCAGAGAAGGAGATGTGACGTAACGGTCAGTGAAGGAAACGTAGCGGTCAGTGAAGGAAACGTAGCGGTCAGAGAAGGAGACATAACGTAACGGTCAGAGAAGGAGACGTAACAGTCAGTGAAGGAGACGTAACGGTCAGAGAAGGAGACGTACCGGTCAGAGAAGGAGACGTAACGGTCAGTAAAGGAGACGTAACGGTCAGAAAAGGAGACGTAACGGTCAGAGAAGGAGACGTACCGGTCAGAGAAGGAGATGTACCGGTCAGTAAAGGAGACGTAGCGGTCAGAGAAGGAGACGTAACAGTCAGAGAAGGAGATGTAGCGGTCAGAGAAGGAGACGTAACAGTCAGTGAAGGAGACGTACCGGTCAGAGAAGGAGACGTAACGGTCAGTGAAGGAGACGTAACAGTCAGTGAAGGAGATGTAACGGTCAGAGAAGGAAACGTGAAGGTCAGAGAAGGAGACGTAACGGTCAGAGAAGGAGACGTAACGGTCAGTGAAGGAGACGTAACAGTCAGAGAAGGAAACGTAACGGTCAGTGAAGGAGACGTGACGGTCAGAGAAGGAGACGTGACGTAACGGTCAGTGAAGGAAATGTAACGTAACGGCAGTGAAGGAGACGTAACGGTCAGTGAAGGAAATGTAGCGGTCAGTGAAGGAAACGTAACGGTCAGTGAAGGAAATGTAGCGGTCAGTGAAGGAAACGTAGCGGTCAGAGAAGGAGACATAACGTAACGGTCAGAGAAGGAGACGTAACAGTCAGTGAAGGAGACGTAACGGTCAGAGAAGGAGACGTACCGGTCAGAGAAGGAGACGTAACGTAACGGTCAGAGAAGGAGACATAACGTAACGGTCAGAGAAGGAGACGTAACAGTCAGTGAAGGAGACGTAACGGTCAGAGAAGGAGACGTACCGGTCAGAGAAGGAGACGTAACGTAACGGTCAGAGAAGGAGACATAACGTAACAGTCAGTGAAGGAGACGTAACAGTCAGTGAAGGAGACGTAACGGTCAGTGAAGGAGACGTAACGGTCAGAGAAGGAGACGTACCGGTCAGAGAAGGAGACGTAACGGTCAGAGAAGGAGACGTGACGTAACGGTCAGTGAAGGAAACATAGCGGTCAGAGAAGGAGACATAACGGTCAGTGAAGGAAATGTAGCGGTCAAAAAAGGGGACATAACGTAACGGTCAGAGAAGGAGACGTACCGGTCAGTAAAGGAGACGTAACGGTCAGTAAAGGAGACGTAACGGTCAGTGAAGGAGACTTAACGGTCTTAGAAGGAAACGTAACGGTCAGTGAAGGAGACGTAACGGTCAAAGAAGGAGACGTAACGGTCAGAGAAGGAGACGTACCGGTCAGTGAAGGAGACGTAACGGTCAGAGAAGGAGACGTAACGGTCAGAGAAGGAGACGTAACGGTCAGAAAAGGAGACGTAACGGACAGTGAAGGAGACGTAACAGTCAGAGAAGGAGACGTAACGGTCAGAGAAGGAGACGTAACGGTCAGAGAAGGAGACGTAACGGTCAGAGAAGGAGACGTAACGGTCAGAAAAGGAGATGTAACGGTCAGAGAAGGAGACGTAACGTAACGGTCAGAGAAGGAGACGTAACGGTCAGTAAAGGAGACGTAACGGTCAGAGAAAGAGACATACCGGTCAGAGAAGGAGACGTAACAGTCAGTGAAGAAAACGTAACGGTCAGAGAAGGAGACGTAACGTAACGGTCAGAGAAGGAGACGTAACGTAACGGTCAGAGAAGGAGACGTAACGGTCAGAGAAGGAGACTTAACGGTCAGAGAAGGAGACGTAACGGTCAGTAAAGGAGACGTACCGGTCAGTAAAGGAGACGTAACGGTCAGTAAAGGAGACGTAACGGTCAGAGAAAGAGACGTAATGGTCAGAGAAGGAGACGTAACGGTCAGTAAAGGAGACGTAACGGTCAGAGAAAGAGACGCACCGGTCAGAGAAGGAGACGTACCGGTCAGAGAACGAGACGTACCGGTCAGTAAAGGAGACGTACCGGTCAGTAAAGGAGACGTAACGGTCAGTAAAGGAGACGTAACGGTCAGTAAAGGAGACGTAACGGTCAGAGAAAGAGACGTAACGGTCAGAGAAGGAGACGTAACGGTCAGTGAAGGAGACGTAACGGTCAGTAAAGGAGACGTAACGGTCAGAGAAAGAGACGTAACGGTCAGAGAAGGAGACGTAACGGTCAGTGAAGGAGACATAACGTTCAGTAAAGGAGACGTACCGGTCAGAGAAGGATACGTAACGGTCAGTGAAGGAGACGTAACGGTCAGAGAAGGAGACGTAACGGCCAGTAAAGGAGACGTAACGGTCAGTAAAGGAGACGTAACGGTCAGAGAAGGAGACGTAACGGTCAGTGAAGGAATCGTAACGGTCAGAGAAGGAGACGTAACGTAACGGTCAGAGAAGGAGACGTAACGGTCAGAGAAGGAGATGTGACGGTCAGAGAAGGAGATGTGAAGGTCAGAGACGGAGACGTAACGGTCAGAGAAGGAGACGTGACGTAACGGTCAGTGAAGGAAACGTAATGGTCAGAGAAGGAGACTTAACGGTCAGAGAAGGAAACGTAACGGTCAGAGAAGGAGATGTGACGTAACGGTCAGTGAAGGAAACGTAACGGTCAGAGAAGGAGACGTAACGGTCAGAGAAGGAGACGTGACGTAACGGTCAGTGAAGGAGACGTAACGGTCAGAGAAGGAGACGTGACGTAACGGTCAGTGAAGGAAACGTAACGGTCAGAGAAGGAGACGTAACGGTCAGAGAAGGAGACGTGACGTAACGGTCAGTGAAGGAGACGTAACAGTCAGTGAAGGAAACGTAACGGTCAGAGAAGGAGATGTGACGTAACGGTCAGTGAAGGAAACGTAACGGTCAGAGAAGGAGACGTAAACGGTCAGAGAAGGAGACGTGACGTAACGGTCAGTGAAGGAGACGTAACGGTCAGAGAAGGAGACGTGACGTAACGGTCAGTGAAGGAGACGTAACAGTCAGAGAAGGAGACGTAACGGTCAGAGAAGGAGACGTAACGGTCAGAGAAGGAGACGTAACGGTCAGAGAAGGAGACGTAACGGTCAGAAAAGGAGATGTAACGGTCAGAGAAGGAGACGTAACGTAACGGTCAGAGAAGGAGACGTAACGGTCAGTAAAGGAGACGTAACGGTCAGAGAAAGAGACATACCGGTCAGAGAAGGAGACGTAACAGTCAGTGAAGAAAACGTAACGGTCAGAGAAGGAGACGTAACGTAACGGTCAGAGAAGGAGACGTAACGTAACGGTCAGAGAAGGAGACGTAACGGTCAGAGAAGGAGACTTAACGGTCAGAGAAGGAGACGTAACGGTCAGTAAAGGAGACGTACCGGTCAGTAAAGGAGACGTAACGGTCAGTAAAAGGAGACGTAACGGTCAGAGAAAGAGACGTAACGGTCAGAGAAGGAGACGTAACGGTCAGTAAAGGAGACGTAACGGTCAGAGAAAGAGACGCACCGGTCAGAGAAGGAGACGTACCGGTCAGAGAACGAGACGTACCGGTCAGTAAAGGAGACGTACCGGTCAGTAAAGGAGACGTAACGGTCAGTAAAGGAGACGTAACGGTCAGTAAAGGAGACGTAACGGTCAGAGAAAGAGACGTAACGGTCAGAGAAGGAGACGTAACGGTCAGTGAAGGAGACGTAACGGTCAGTAAAGGAGACGTAACGGTCAGAGAAAGAGACGTAACGGTCAGAGAAGGAGACGTAACGGTCAGTGAAGGAGACATAACGTTCAGTAAAGGAGACGTACCGGTCAGAGAAGGAGACGTAACGGTCAGTGAAGGAGACGTAACGGTCAGAGAAGGAGACGTAACGGCCAGTAAAGGAGACGTAACGGTCAGTAAAGGAGACGTAACGGTCAGAGAAGGAGACGTAACGGTCAGTGAAGGAATCGTAACGGTCAGAGAAGGAGACGTAACGTAACGGTCAGAGAAGGAGACGTAACGGTCAGAGAAGGAGATGTGACGGTCAGAGAAGGAGATGTGAAGGTCAGAGACGGAGACGTAACGGTCAGAGAAGGAGACGTGACGTAACGGTCAGTGAAGGAAACGTAATGGTCAGAGAAGGAGACTTAACGGTCAGAGAAGGAAACGTAACGGTCAGAGAAGGAGATGTGACGTAACGGTCAGTGAAGGAAACGTAACGGTCAGAGAAGGAGACGTAACGGTCAGAGAAGGAGACATGACGTAACGGTCAGTGAAGGAGACGTAACGGTCAGAGAAGGAGACGTGACGTAACGGTCAGTGAAGGAAACGTAACGGTCAGAGAAGGAGACGTAACGGTCAGAGAAGGAGACGTGACGTAACGGTCAGTGAAGGAGACGTAACAGTCAGTGAAGGAAACGTAACGGTCAGAGAAGGAGATGTGACGTAACGGTCAGTGAAGGAAACGTAACGGTCAGAGAAGGAGACGTAACGGTCAGAGAAGGAGACGTGACGTAACGGTCAGTGAAGGAGACGTAACGGTCAGAGAAGGAGACGTGACGTAACGGTCAGTGAAGGAGACGTAACAGTCAGTGAAGGAGACGTAACGGTCAGTGAAGGAAACGTAACGGTCAGTGAAGGAAACGTAACGGTCAGAGAAGGAGATGTGACGTAACGGTCAGTGAAGGAAACGTAACGGTCAGAGAAGGAGACTTAACGGTCAGAGAAGGAAACGTAACGGTCAGAGAAGGAGATGTGACGTAACGGTCAGTGAAGGAAACGTAACGGTCAGAGAAGGAGACGTAACGGTCAGAGAAGGAGACGTGACGTAACGGTCAGTGAAGGAGACGTAACGGTCAGTGAAGGAAACGTAATGGTCAGAGAAGGAGACTTAACGGTCAGAGAAGGAAACGTAACGGTCAGAGAAGGAGATGTGACGTAACGGTCAGTGAAGGAAACGTAACGGTCAGAGAAGGAGACGTAACGGTCAGAGAAGGAGACGTGACGTAACGGTCAGTGAAGGAGACGTAACGGTCAGAGAAGGAGACGTGACGTAACGGTCAGTGAAGGAAACGTAACGGTCAGAGAAGGAGACGTAACGGTCAGAGAAGGAGACGTGACGTAACGGTCAGTGAAGGAGACGTAACAGTCAGTGAAGGAAACGTAACGGTCAGAGAAGGAGATGTGACGTAACGGTCAGTGAAGGAAACGTAACGGTCAGAGAAGGAGACGTAACGGTCAGAGAAGGAGACGTGACGTAACGGTCAGTGAAGGAGACGTAACGGTCAGTGAAGGAAACGTAACGGTCAGAGAAGGAGATGTGACGTAACGGTCAGTGAAGGAAACGTAACGGTCAGAGAAGGAGACGTGACGTAACGGTCAGTGAAGGAGACGTAACGGTCAGAGAAGGAGACGTGACGTAACGGTCAGTGAAGGAAACGTAACGGTCAGAGAAGGAGACGTAACGGTCAGAGAAGGAGACGTGACGTAACGGTCAGTGAAGGAAACGTAACGGTCAGAGAAGGAGACTTAACGGTCAGAGAAGGAAACGTAACGGTCAGTGAAGGAGACGTAACGGTCAGAGAAGGAGATGTGACGGTCAGAGAAGGAGACGTAACGGTCAGAGAAGGAGACGTGACGTAACGGTCATCTAAGGAGACGTAACGGTCAGTGAAGGAAACGTAACGGTCAGAGAAGGAGACTTAACGGGCAGAGAAGGAAACGTAACGGTCAGTGAAGGAGACGTAACAGTCAGTGAAGGAGACGTAACGGTCAGAGAAGGAGACGTAACGGTCAGTGAAGGAGACGTAACAGTCAGTGAAGGAGACGTAACGGTCAGTGAAGGAGACGTAACAGTCAGTGAAGGAGACGTAACGGTCAGTGAAGGAGACGTAACAGTCAGTGAAGGAGACGTAACGGTCAGAGAAGGAGACGTGAAGGTCAGAGAAGGAGACGTAACGGTCAGTGAAGGAGACGTAACGGTCAGAGAAGGAGACGTAACGGTCAGAGAAGGAGACGTAACGGTCAGAGAAGGAGACTTAACGGGCAGAGAAGGAAACGTAACGGTCAGTGAAGGAGACGTAGCGGTCAGTGAAGGAGACGTAACAGTCAGAGAAGGAGACGTAACGGTCAGTGAAGGAGACGTAACGGTCAGAAAAGGAGACTAACGGTCAGTGAAGGAGACGTAACGGTCAGAGAAGGAGACGTAACGGTCAGTAAAGGAGACGTAACGGTCAGAGAAGGAAACGTAACGGTCAGTGAAGGAGACGTAACGGTCAGAGAAGGAGACGTGACGTAACGGTCAGTGAAGGAAACGTAACGGTCAGAGAAGGAGACGTAACGTAACGGTCAGTGAAGGAAATGTAGCGGTCAGAGAAGGAGATGTAACGGTCAGAGAAGAAGACATAACGTAACGGTCAGAGAGGGAGACGTAACAGTCAGTGAAGGAGACGTACCGGTCAGAGAAGGAGACGTACCGGTCAGAGAAGGAGACGTACCGGTCAGAGAAGGAGACGTAACGGTCAGAGAAGGAGACGTACCGGTCAGAGAAGGAGACGTACCGGTCAGTAAAGGAGACGTAACGGTCAGAAAAGGAGACGTAACGGTCAGAGAAGGAGACGTAACATAACGGTCAGTGAAGGAGACGTGACGGTCAGAGAAGGAGACGTACCGGTCAGAGAAGGAGATGTACCGGTCAGTAAAGGAGACGTAGCGGTCAGAGAAGGAGACGTAACAGTCAGTGAAGGAGACATACCGGTCAGAGAAGGAGACGTAACGGTCAGTGAAGGAGACGTAACGGTCAGAGAAGGAGATGTAGCGGTCAGAGAAGGAGACGTAACAGTCAGTGAAGGAGACGTACCGGTCAGAGAAGGAGACGTAACGGTCAGTGAAGGAGACGTAACAGTCAGTGAAGGAGACGTAACGGTCAGAGAAGGAAACATGAAGGTCAGAGAAGGAGACGTAACGGTCAGAGAAGGAGACGTAACGGTCAGTGAAGGAGACGTAACAGTCAGAGAAGGAAACGTAACGGTCAGTGAAGGAGACGTGACGGTCAGAGAAGGAGACGTGACGTAACGGTCAGTGAAGGAAATGTAACGGTCAGAGAAGGAGACGTAACGTAACGGCAGTGAAGGAGACGTAACGGTCAGTGAAGGAAATGTAGCGGTCAGTGAAGGAAACGTAACGGTCAGTGAAGGAAATGTAGCGGTCAGTGAAGGAAACGTAGCGGTCAGAGAAGGAGACATAACGTAACGGTCAGAGAAGGAGACGTAACAGTCAGTGAAGGAGACGTAACGGTCAGAGAAGGAGACGTACCGGTCAGAGAAGGAGACGTAACGTAACGGTCAGAGAAGGAGACATAACGTAACGGTCAGAGAAGGAGACGTAACAGTCAGTGAAGGAGACGTAACGGTCAGAGAAGGAGACGTACCGGTCAGAGAAGGAGACGTAACGTAACGGTCAGAGAAGGAGACATAACGTAACAGTCAGTGAAGGAGACGTAACAGTCAGTGAAGGAGACGTAACGGTCAGTGAAGGAGACGTAACGGTCAGAGAAGGAGACGTACCGGTCAGAGAAGGAGACGTAACGGTCAGTGAAGGAGACGTAACGGTCAGAGAAGGAGACGTGACGTAACGGTCAGTGAAGGAAACATAGCGGTCAGAGAAGGAGACATAACGGTCAGTGAAGGAAATGTAGCGGTCAAAAAAGGGGACATAACGTAACGGTCAGAGAAGGAGACGTACCGGTCAGTAAAGGAGACGTAACGGTCAGTAAAGGAGACGTAACGGTCAGTGAAGGAGACTTAACGGTCTTAGAAGGAAACGTAACGGTCAGTGAAGGAGACGTAACGGTCAAAGAAGGAGACGTAACGGTCAGAGAAGGAGACGTACCGGTCAGAAAAGGAGACGTAACGGACAGTGAAGGAGACGTAACGGTCAGAGAAGGAGACGTAACGGTCAGAAAAGGAGACGTAACGGACAGTGAAGGAGACGTAACAGTCAGAGAAGGAGACGTAACGGTCAGAGAAGGAGACGTAACGGTCAGAGAAGGAGACGTAACGGTCAGAAAAGGAGATGTAACGGTCAGAGAAGGAGACGTAACGGTCAGTGAAGGAGACGTACAGTAGGTCCCATTCCGTTTTGTCGCCTTTCACGCGTGAATCACACGTGAATCTCGGTCCCATTCCGTTTTGTCGCCTTTCACGCGTGAATCACACGTGAATCTCGTGTGATTCACGCGTCTTTTATTTTCCCCCCTCCCAGTGACGTTGCAATGACCAAAACAACCACCAGGTGGCACTTGTGAGCAGGGTTACATTGGCGAGTTTCTGCCCCGCACACAATGACAATCTGTCATTGATCCATGCTCCCAGCAGACTCGAACGAACACGAAGTGGAACGTGAAGTTTAATGTAAGTAACTTTTCAATTGTTTTTCATGTGACAGTATATTCATTATTGTCTTTGGGTTGTGTTGCATTGTACACATGTCGTCATTGCGTCACATCAGCGTCGGCTAACATTATATTTTTAGATGCTAGGTATTTTTTCTCCTGCGTCAAAATGGAACTGAGAGATATTCAACTTTTCGTCACATGAAACAAGGCATAGCCTATGCTATGTTATCTAACGCTGGTTTAAAACTCAATTGAATATTAGTTTAGCGTTAATCGACTAATTTCCATCCGCGGGAAATAAGGCACATGGTGTTTGCTAGCTTAGTTAAACAAGTTAACCATTTGAAAAGAACTAAATAATTTATTTTCTCATTTTCCTTGGAAGTAACACAAGGCTACGCAATGTAAGCAAATAAGTATAATACAGCTCGGAAACTTGTGTTGAAACAATCGCGTCAAATACTACAGTTCCCATCATGCTTTTGCTTTGTCACGTGTCCTCCTCAAACAACAACAAGCACAGGCATGCCTGTGCTTTATTTAGCAAAGAGTTTGGTCTCGTTTCTCAAACGTAAATCTGGGCTGTGTACAGAGGACTGCGTGCTTCGGTATGTACAAACGACGCTGCGCGTGATTTGATTCATAGCGTAGTTAATGTTGTAGCGTAGCTTCTTCTGAGGCCAGTTTTCATTACTTTCATGACTGTCTTTCTTATATCGCTATGCACTCCACTAAACATGGCTGATACTTAGTTATTATTGCTTAACAAGTAGATACGTCTTTCCGTTTTTTTCGTTTGGAGACTGAAAATATATCCCAAAGCATTTATGTTCCCCCCGTGCAACTAAAATTGTATAATTATTTGTGAATTTAGACAATTAAATAATAATTATGTGAACATTGTGAAATTAATCACAAGTAATGTAATGTTACAGTATATTTGACAATTTATAAATATTACATTATTTATATATTATACTGTAATGTTAAAGTATATTTTACAATTTTCTTTCAGATTCAGGAGAGAAGTGCTGATATTGACACCAGATCTTATACCCACCACTTCTACTTTGGTAGCTTCAATCAGGTAAAAATGTAACTATACATTTGATTTATAGTTTACTAACTGTATACAACATTGAATCCATATTTTTGTCTTGCAGGGGACCAATAATCAAGACTCAAAGAAGGAGAAAGATTAGAGACAGTAGGCTTTTTAGATGAGATGGCAATGCAAAGTTTGCATTGCCATCTCATCTCAAAAGAGATGGCAATGCAAAGTTGGAGAATCACCACCATTCCTCTTGAGCAGACCTTCATGTTCAATCTGGACAAATACACTCCAAATTTACTTTTTTGCGAAGAAGGTTGCGAAGCAAAACTGGTGGTTTGAACAAACAGATCGGTACAAACTTATGCTGAGTACAATTTTTGTTCTTTCCCATTGATAAATCCCTGTTTTGGTGCTATTTACAGAACCAAACAATTGAGATGAGACGTGACAATGTGATTCGTGGTTTAATGCTCTACCTCGGTGAAAATGAGGAAGAACTCTTTCTAGATTGCCAGGTACCATTCTTGATATTTTTCTCCCCCATTCTCTCAAAAACTCAGGGTCGTCCTATTCCTCACATATTTAACCTGTTTTGTAAGAGTGAGTGTCAACACTTCAAATACACCAAACGAAATACAGTGGTAATTTAAAGCTCTCACTGTCAGAGTTTGGGAACTCACTGCTCTTTCTTTTATAAACTTGTTTTGATTGTTTTTTTATATTGTGCCACGATGATGAACTCCAATGTAATGTAACACAGCATGTTGACCCATGACAAAAACACACGTCCGTGTTTTGGAATCACCTTATGGCTGTGTCTATGATTATGACCTGTCTTGTGATTATTGATCAATCAAGTATAATGTTTGAAGAGAACAAAGGTAGTCTGAGGCACTCTGTTTTGGTGAAAAAATTAAAAGTCCTTTAATGAATTGGACTGCCTACGCGTTTCGACCAACAGCGGTCTTTGTCAGGGCATAAATTAGATAAATAAAAAGATTTATGGCTATAGAAGTGAGCTATAGCTATAGCTATGTAAGCTATAGAGTGTATTTATCAAAGTAATTCTTCCTCTTTACAATTTACCCAGGCGCACTTAGAGGATGTTGGCCGGCACAAAATGAAGATCCTGGTCGTTTGTTCTTCCTCTGATGAAGAACCTGTGGATGTCTCTATTGTTCTCGACAGCAAGGAGATTGTGACTGGATGTGGAAATACTGCAAAGGCATGTGCACTGCTAATGGGTCTAATATATTCCCTCAATCTTGCTTATCCTACAACACTACGATACACCTTCGAAGTATTTCAGAAGATTTTCTTACATTTAGATGCATTTAAGCCATCCCCGAAAATACAAACACTGAAAGTCAAGCTACTGTCCAAAACATAAGAGAAGCAATTTTGTTCAGCATAAGAGAAAAGGCCACAGATTTTATATAATTTGATGTTGTTACTTTAGCTTAGACTCTAGCTTAGACTAGAATATGAAAATTAGTCATTAAAACATGGACATGTTAAATTAATTGACTATTCTTGAATCTAGTAACTCCTCATGTAACAGTGTTTTAATTAGGGAAAATGTGAAAGAGCTCGGCCACTTCTAAAATTACCTCGGTCTGGAGCCATTGAGATTTACTGCGAGAGGCTAATGCTACAACATCCTGGTCTTTAGCTGAACAGAGGCTCAAAGACCAGGCAGGTGCATCATCTCATCTAAGCTAATGACATTTAATTATAGAAAATCAATGGCCTATCTCTATACCATTCCCATTGCATCCTTTTTGTGATAATTAAGTTTTCTGTTGTCATGTGTTCTGCTTTTAAGGTCAGCTTTAGTTCATCTTTTAGTTTTCATTGTTGATGTGTGAACTTAAAAGTTTGTCAATAAAACAGGTTGTTAAATGTTGATATTTGCATATTGTTTTTTCTTATTAATTCAATAATAATGTAATTGTTACACACATATAGTACTTAATAAGTATTATTGCAATGATATGAAATATACTGATAAAATATAAATAACATTTATTCAAGTTATCCATTATTGTAAATGATCTGTACACATAATGGTTACTCAGTATATCTATTTCACACATAAATAACCTAAAAAAAATCACATAAACCTTACTTGATTATTTTATGTGATCAAGTAAAAAAAATCACATTTGTTAAGTAAGGTTTACTTACAAATAACATTCAGATTATACTTGATGAAATAAAAAGAGTTTTACTTGATTTATAGTAGTAATCTTTAATTATATCTTCGTGCAAATACTTACGAGGATTTTTTTAAGTAAATGTTAATCACGATTTTTTTCAGTGTATAACGTAAACTTTTGCATCACGTTGGTGATCTTTCCAAAAAGAGAGAATATCGTTATGGAAAGAGAAACTATTGGTAATATAACGCTGAACGTTATTTGACTCAAACAGCTTGGAACAATTGGATTACAAAATTTGGACATCATTTGGAACAATCTGGATTTCTGAATTTGGACATCATTTGGAACAATCTGGATTTCTGAATTTGGACATAATTTGGACTGAATTGAATTACTGAATCTGGACACTAAAGCTGAAACGTGCGATTGAAAGACACGTCACAGAAGAATTCATGGCTCGACACAAATGCAGCCTGAAGAAATCAACACGGAGAAGTGGGAGAGACTGTTTTCAAAGCAATATCTGAGAACCATTGACTGATGAAGTTTGGTATTTTACTGAAGATTGTTGACAAGTTTTATGAAAGATCTGAAAATGTTTTATGAGTTTTCTGAGTTTTTTGAAGTACCGAGTGAAGTACCGAGTTTAAGTATTGAGTTATGTATGTTTGTTCTACGTAAATACTGTATGTGTGCTATTTTTGTTGCACAATGCTGTAGAATTGCAAAGAGCATATGCAGTAAATATGTGAAAGACATACAGTACATACATATATATCTCACTAAATACAGTCACAATGAAAACATGACTAAATCATTTGACTGTTGTTCATAAACACTGGTGTCAGGACACAGACACAGACCGTTTCATTGACATGAAGACTTTCTTTTGAGGAATTAAGTTCATTTTGAGGAAGTGACTTTTTAGCAAGTTATCCATGAGGTTTTGCCGATTGCACTAATTGTTCTGAGAAATGCACAAACTGATTACAAAATATATACTGTGCATTCTCAGGGGACACACTGCCATGGCATCTCTTCTGCATTGTCCACATGTGTACTGTATCTGTGGACTACTGTAGTACTCTCTTGGAGCTCTCCCTCCCCCGCACGAATAAACAAAGCCCACCCCAGGCCCCTGCTGTTATAAGTCATTACCTAAATTTGCAAATCAATACATGCAAATGTTAGCAGCCAACCTAGCATAGTGTGTATCATCTATGGTATTAAGCAACTTTTGTTAAAGTTAAACTCATCATTCTATCAATGTGCAGAAGCCAGTACTTTTCCCTTGTTTTGTCTATCTGAAGGCCAAGCTACAAGCACAACGTGGAAGCTGCTGATTGGAGGTCTCCATGCCTCCGCTCTGTATAATACACTTGCATTCTGTTGTATCTGTTGTTCGTGCTGTCTCTACCATCGACAATAAAACATGTCTTCTGTCTGAATTTAAGACGCGATCCCAGACTTTGTCATCTTCTTCAGGTGGTGGAGAATGCGGGCATTGTCTGTAACATCTAGAGAACAGAAGACTACTTTTTTTTTACACAAAAATGTGTTTTTTTTTTTAAA